TGCAATCAGAGCTGTACAAGAATGGAGCATAGAACAGGCACCATGAAGAACAAATCTAAAAACTGAAAAATGAAGAGATGGGTAAGACAGAAAAAAAAATCTGAAGAAACAAATGGGAACATAATCTATACTAAATTACACCTTGTGCAATCTGTTTGACCTCACTGGAAATGCACAGGAAATAGCTCAACAAAGAATTAGATCAAGCCAGGATACATACCAGTTAAAGGGTCCCAGTTTATTCCAGCTGAGAGATGTTCTCTTTCCAATATATAAAACAAGTTTCACTTGAATCATAACAATATGTTGAAGGAGGAATTTCAAAAGATGAATTACTCATGGAAAAAAATCAGAGTTTAAATTACCAAAAAAAAAAAAAAAAAAGGTTGACAAACTCAAACTGGTCTTGTGGATTATCCTAAATAATATGATGAGCATGTAAAATCTCAAATTCCAAGAATTTCTCTAATCTCTAATGATAGTCATGCTTATCCACATAATAAAGTAATCATCACTCTACTCATTATAATCAAGTATCAGTTTCAGGCATTTCACCAACTTTAAAACTCAAGTGAAAAAATAATGTTAAGATGGTCAGGTAAGAGAAATGGAAGTATACGTCATTACAGAAGCTAGGGAGATAGGATTGTTGGGTCAATAAAACACCTAAGAAGTTGGGGGAGAAAATTAGGAGAGGAATGAGACTTGATTGGGTATTCCAAATGTAAGTAATGAAGAAGAATTGATTGTTATTATTAAGAAAATAGATGATACTATACAGGCATTGGTGGGGGGCCAACAGGGTGCTGAGCCCCTGGGTAATGTGTCAGAAGGACTGAGGCCTCAAGTGGAAGGGATAGGGCTGAGTTTGTCTCCTTCTGCCAGCCCTTCAGTGCCCCCCTTCCCCTGGGGCTCCAGCAGTAATTTAAAGGGCTCTGGGCTTCTGCTGCTGCTGCCTGCTCCTGGTCAGTTGTCCCCATTGCAGTCCTTCCTCCCACTCCTCCCCTGTCAGCGGTCCTTGCTACTGGTTAGCTAAATGTAGGGTTTCACAAGTACACAGTAACATTACCCAATGAAATGTGAGCCGTCTTCTAAGATTTATTCCACTATAAATTGGGTTTTAACAATATAATAGAAATCTGGGAAAGTGAAATTGGAAATGCGGGTGTATTTTGAAAGTTCAGTCAAATTGGGTGACGTTTGGCACTGAACATTTATACTTTTTGGTAAGATTCCATTAACATTGCTTAATTTGACTGCAATAACTAGAAACTTTTCAGAGCTGTGACTGTAACACTTAGGCACAACAGGATGGCTGAAGGGCAAAACAGACGCACTCAATCTGAACTTCCTCCACCTTTATAAGTTTAAATGAAATCTAGATTTGATTTGGATAATCATCTAAAAAATTGCATTATTATCATGATTCAGGAAAGTACCTAAGCACGTGCTTAAAAGCTAAGCATATACTTAAATGTTATTCTGAATATGGGTCGTAAACTGCAAACAATATATAGCAAGGTCCAGTGGCAGAGATTCAGAAGATCGGGGTTCCATTCTTGGTTCTTTCATTGGCTCAGTTACAGACTATACGAGTGCTATAGTCTGTAAAATAAAGATACTTATGCTCACCTGTCTTGGTAAAACACTTAGAAAACAATAGAAGAAAAATACTGAGACAGACTTTCTCAGTGGATTTCTGGTAGTTTCTCCTTTGAGTCAGGCAGGACATAGCATGAGAGCTGAGAGAGTAAGATACTTACTGTAAAATTCTTGTGCCACAACAGTAAGTGGCAAGACTGATACAAGATCCCTTGTGAACACTCCCTCCGCATATTTTACAAACATATCTGCTGAGTCAAAAAATGCCCTATTCTGGGATGATAGCACAATAGTGCTGACCATGAATAGATAGCAATGGATATCCATAGATAGCTGCATCTGCAGATATTAATGCGAATAGCTGCGGCTCATTTTTGCAGATATGGTTGTAGATGTGGATACAAATTTTGTATCTGTGCAGGGCTCTATGAATAGAACTGGTGGGATTGGAAAAGCCACATTTAAGTTAATGAAACTACACCAATTTATACCAGCTTCAGACCTGGCTCAAAGTAATTGCTTCATCATGCCTCTATGAGATAGAGGCAGCAAAGTGGGGGAGGGAGGGATACTTCAAAGTGGCAGCACCACACAGGTGAGCCAGCGATCAACTGTGCGATGCTGCCACTTTGAAACTCTAAGGCGGCATTTCAAAGGGGCAGCCACCGTACAGCAGATCCACGGCTCTGCCCCTTTAAAACCTGAAGTGCCATGGACCCCGGAGTCAGCTGGAGTTCCCAATTAACCCTGGATTCTGGGGAAATGCCACACGAAGCCCAGGATCAGCTGGGGAGTCCTCAGCTGCCCTCGGGCTTCATGGCACTGCCCCTTTAAAATGCTGCTTTGGCATTTCAAAGGGGCATCATCGCACAGCTGAATCCAGGATCAGCTGTGTGGTGGATGCCCCTTTGAAATGCCACCTCTATGTTTCAAAGGGGCAACCCTGGAGCCTGGGGTCAGCTGGGGATTCCCCAGATGATCCCCTCCGTGCGACATTTCCCAAGAACCCGGGGTCAGCTGGGGAGTCCCCATGTGATTGTGGGTTCCGCTGAGCAGTCCCCCATAGACCGTGGCATGGGGAGTCCCCCTCTGACCCCAGGCTCCATGGCTTTGAAATGCACAAGAGCTCCTGCTGGGGACTCTTGTACATTTCAAAGCAGGCACCTGCATGCAGCCCAGAGTCAGCAGGACTTTCCACTGGCCCCAGGCTGTTCCCCATTCCTCCTTTGAAACATACAAGAGCCCTCACTGGAGCATTTCAAAGGAGGAATGTTGAAGTGCCTATCAACTAGTTGAGTAGTCAATGGAAATTCCATCCACTACTCAACTAGACAATTAACTGCAATTTTACATCCGTAATGCAAATAATTCTTTCTGATGCAGAACAATCTTATTATAGTCAGTAGGACTACTCATGTGAGTAAGGACTTGTAGGCTGAGTTCTTCCCCAGTTAAAAGTTGTGTTTGTATTTGACTGACAGAGCTTGAGGCAGTAAAGAATCCATTGCTGATGATAACTCAGAGTTCATCGCATTCTCACTTCCTTAAGTCAGAGCTCATTCTCTAGCTTCCACGTGATGGGCTCATAGCCAAAGCCATGAGTCTGTGTGTATGTGTTCAGGACAGTTAATATTTATGATGCATCTTACTGGGAAAATTAGTATAAAGCTGTGTTCCAGCAGTACATTTATCCCATGACCTAGTTTTATGAACAACACACTGAAACATGGCCCACTTGATTTAAACCGTTGTCACCCATTCTGATGGATACAATGCCTAGCTTAGCTTATGCAATGCAAGCTAGGATTTTTGCAAAAATGCAATGTGTATTTGTGCAAGGTAAACAGATGGTAATACTTTTGTTAATACTAAACACACACAAAGATATTTATCAAAGGACCACATGTAAGGTCCGCAACTCTTGGCAGACATCCCTATGCTGTTACATCAGCAAATAAGAGCATTTTACTGCATTAGTGACTGTTTGGGGTTTTTTTTCAGGATTTGTTTTAGAGTAGACAGGCAGCTGCCCAGAATGCCATATTTCAGAGCCTTGTGATCTCATCATCTGTGGTACCAAGCATCCACATCTTTGTTTGAATTCATTAAGAATTGTAGATACTCTAGCTAGCTCAAGCCCTTGTGTGGGAAATCCACTGCAGGAGACAGCTCTAGAGAATGGATAGGGCAGCTGGGGGTGAATACTTGAAAAAGTTGGAACAGGGATGAGAGAGATGGGCAATCAGAGTAAAGGAAATGGAAAGAATGGATTTGGGAGGCTGTGGGAATGTCAATTACTACACCAACTACTAAAATACAGCAATCTTTTTTTGGAGGGGGTGAAAGAGATTGTAGTTTTTTAGTAGTATGCAGTAATGCTACAAGTCATTTATGTCAGAAAGGAAAGGGAATATATCCCTCTGAAACTATAGGGAAATTTTAGTTTGACAGACATAGATTTTCCAAAAGTTCTTGGTACCGATGACAAGCTCATTCTGTGATAGCACTGTGGCCTGACTTCAATGTGCTTTTATTAGCAAATAGGATAATAAAATGTGCATGCAACTACTGCTGAGGAGATCTATCTTACCTAAAGTTTTCTACCGAGACACAGGAAAATATCTAGTGTCCCACTTCAGGAAAGCACTTACACAATGGGAATTGAGCATGTGCTGAAGCACCTTTCCCAAATAAGGATGCTTTCCTGAATCAGAATATTTAGTTGGTTATAAGGGCGGAGGCAGGAATATTCTTCAGAAAAAATTCAAAAAACTGTCAGCCACCTCTATACACAGGAACCTTATGCACACTTAATTGCATTTTTTTCCATATGAAGGCCTAATGAAATCAATGGGGCTATTCACAAGTTTGGGTACTTCTAACTGTGAATAAGATATCGCTATCTCATCCATAACTATTATGCAGTGCTGCTGCTAATAATCATTATATCACACGTATAGGCCAGAGTGTGAGCTCCTTGCTCCTTTTGGTGAGCAGCTACTCACAGATGCAGTTCCATTGACTTTAATGGAATGGCTTGTATGAGTAAATGGGAAATAGAAAATCACAGTCTGGCCCCAAGTTTGTTAAAAATAATCATTTAAATAATAATTGTATAATTATTCAACATACTTTTATTTATTTTTTGGTACATGAATCAAAAACGTTAGCTCAATTAGGTGCGTAACTAGGGAAAAGAGTCAACGTGAGACAAAGGCCCTGATTCAGTAAATGTACACACAGGCTCAGAGCCAAAGCCATGTGCTTAGCTTTAAGCATTCACTTAAATTCCATTGAGTTTCTGAACTGAGCAGCAAATAGTGTTAAATTACTTACCATTAGTGCCGTTACTATTATGTTCCGCTCAGCCATGGTCATTTCTTCTGTTATTTAAACAGACTTTCTCTAATACCCTGTACAAGAACTGAAATCCAACCTATTGACCACTGGGAAAGCTTCCAATAATTGCATATTGGAGAAGCAAATCAGCAGGCATAGCAGGGGTATGTACATTCTCATAAATATAATATTCAAATTCATTTGCCTATATAAATTTAATGTAACTATTAAACCAGCCTTCTAGTTGCTCTGGGGTTTCTTTTAAACATTTTCTCTGCCGTAAACATTCCATTCAATATTTTCTGTATCATGTTAAAATTCAAAGGACATTCATCATCAGATGAGATAATTAACACAGCCTCCTACCAAAAGCTAAACATGCTACAGTCTCTTTTCTAATGTATGCATTTCAATGGTATTTCCAAACAGAGTTACAAGGGTTTAGTATTTTTCCTTCTGGATTTCATCCAAACAAAGTATTTTCCATTTAAAACCAAACTCATCAACTGAGGAGGCTTTCTTTGGGCTATAACATCTTCTATGGAAGAGATGGAGGGAACAGACTGGAAATACTTAGCTTAGTTATTTCTCTCTCCCTATTCCTCCCCAATCTAGAGGTCAGTTATGAGCCAGATAAAAAATAGCAGAGCAGATCTTCACCTAACATAAATTGTTATAACGCCAGTGATGTCAACACAGCTATGACAAGTTATGCTAATTGAGATCTGCCTTAAGATATCTAAGATTTCTATCATATCTGCTACCTATGATATTATTTAAGAGGAATTTCAGTTGCATGCCTGAAGGGTGTATAACTCTCACTGCCTAATTATCCTTTTTACTGCAACTTGTTTCTTTTTTAGCTAGCCACCCTTCACCCCTCCAAAAAAGAAAGAGGAGGAGGGATGACTTGGAGACGGACCAAACTGGCAACAGTCTTTCCTCCCAGCCTGAATATTGAGATTGAGATAAGAAGATTCACCTCTATGATGGTCCTGAAACAGGACTTTGGATCCAAACTTTCTCTAAAGTTTTAAGTAAAATTTTCAACTGTCTCTAAGTCATTTTGGATCTTAAGTCACATTGAAGATCAGAGAGACGTAGGCTTCAATGGGTATGCCTAAACACGATTCGACAGTATGGCTAGCCTGTTCCAGCCAACCTAGGCTTGTAAGGTTCAGGCATTGGGACTGTTTCACAGCAGTATAGACTTCTGGACTCCAGCGGGAACCTAGACATCAACACAGCAATAGCCTTGCAGCCTGAGAGCACAAGGCCAAGTCAGCCAACACGGGCCAGCCATGGGTTTTTCTTTGCTTTGTAGATATTACCCTATGCGTGCATCTAAACTGCACCTGCAGGTTGAAATAAGATATGTAATTTGAGCTACACAAATTGCCTATCTTATTTCAATTGAATTTCAAAATAGTGTATTTCAAAATTTGGCTCTGCTAGATAAGGGAGGAACACCAGAATAGTGCACCCATTATTTCAAAATCTATTTTGAAATAATAGGCGCGTTTAAAGATGCGGAATAGCTATTTCAGGATACTTCCAGTATTCCAAAATAGCGACACTGTCTAGACATAGCCTTTGTGACTTAGGTGCTTTAAAACTTTACCCTAGTGGTCTGATTTTGATTTCACAGTGGTGAGCTAAGATTTGAAAAAGTGATTAGTGAAATAAGTCCTTCAGCTTTTGGTTGCCCAATCTGAGACATTTTAAAAGGAATCTGATTTGCAGTAGGTAGGTGCCCAGCATTTCTGAAAACCAGTGAAGTTATACACACAAACATCCAGAGGGAGATCAAAATCAGGGCTCAGTTAGGTGCTGAGCTGATACTCATTGGCATAACTCCACTGAAATCAGTAGAGCTTTGTTGATTTATACTTGTTGAGAATCTAGCTGTCAATTTATACCACAACCTACTTCCTGTCCTCTAACGACAAAAGGCATGGCAAGGAGAGATTTTCCACATGCTTAAATGATTTAGAAGCACTATTGAAAGTCAGTAGGTTGTAGGGCTAAATCTGCAAATGAACATAGGCATTGCAATGCCTAACTTTTAGGTGTCCTCATGCCCACTGAACTCCTGAACCTTTAAATTAGGTGTCCAGACTCCCCATGCAATGAATGGGGAGAGCAAGAATAGTATTCTCAGAAGTCAGCAAGATAAATGAGGAACCACTTTAATTATCCAAAAGAAAATACTGTGGCGAGGGGTGGATCTTAGTCCCATGACTCTGGAATGGTGCCTATCTTCACTCTGTGTTCATAGCCACGAATGTCAAGTGCCTATGCCAGGTCAGCCTTTTCTCAGGAAAAAACAGAGAAAGGGAGACTACCCAAATTCCAGTAAACATAGTAAACAGGACATTGACCTGCTCCAAGTCAGGCAGAGGAGGGCTTTTGAAAACTGATTTCTCACAGCACAGTCGAGTGTCTGGACTAGTGGATATTCTGGGACATGAGTGCCACTGCCCCAGTACCAAACATTCCTGATCTGGTTGCCCTCATCTGTCTTTTGTGTGACAGCCAACCCAGTCGGCATGCTCTAAGAACTACCAGATCGGGCCCTGCAGGTGAGATAGGTGGGGGAATGCCTAGCTTGTGACTCCTGTTGGGACTTAAGTATGAACCAGGGCTCTGAGCAGCTTGTTGGCATTGGGACCTAGGCAACATTGCTCACCCCCTCTGGCAGAAAGTGAGGCACTAGGTATCTTTGCTGTCAGAAATTTACGTGCGCAGGGAATTTGTGTGCGTCTTTGTGCATGTACTTTTAACTGACAGTATACAAGCCCCGCCACATAACTGGCAAAAGTCCTACTAACATTCCTAAGAGCAAGAGTGGGCCCAGAAATGCAACTAATCTATTTCAGAAGGGAGTAAACTGTACGATTTACAATTTAGCTAATCCTAGTCACAGGCTGCGTGAGATTTCTTGTTCCCGTTTGCTTCACAAGATAAAACATGGATTACGGTAAGAAATAAAGGAACTAGAGATATTGTGCAACCAATATTCAAATGAATAATCTCATTCAAGCCAAATGGACTACTTGAATAAGAAAGGATTGATTGTTGGATGGGGCCTTTTCACTGCATAAAACTCTATGGCTACATCTACATTGCAGGCTCCTTGCACAAGAACTGTTTTGCACAAGAGTTCTTTCACAAAAGGTCTTGCACAAAAGCGCGTCCACACTGCCATGTGCTTTTGCGCAAGAGCATCCATGGCCGTGTGGACACTCTCTTGCACAAGAAAGCTCTGATGGCCATTTTAGCCAGAAGGGTTTCTTGCACAAGAAACTCCTGTTGCCCGTCCACACTGCCTTCTTGTGCAAGAGGGCTTATTCCTTGTGGGGAGAGGAATAACTCTTGCATAAGAAGCCCTCTTTTCTGATGTTTTACTGTAAATTTACTTGTGCAAGAATGCACGTGCAGTGTAGACGCTCCACAAGATTTTGTGCAAGAACTTGTGCAGATAAATCAACTGATATGTTTGAAGGCAATAATCAATAATTATAACCTCAACATATTTACCATAACAATATTATTTAATCCAATTCCTTGAATGTTCCTCGGTGCCCTTTTGGAAGCCTAGTAGGGGGAGCAGGGAGAAGATGTTCTTTCTTTGAACCATTCATTAACTAACCCTAAGCTTTGTTAAATACTAGCCTAGTGGCCTTGGGACAAGGGAGGGGATCTGAGTTTGCCAGGGGCAGAATGTCAAGACTTATGGGTTCTTCTGCTTGAATGAAGTTGAGAACGTGGACTGTAACCAATGTGGCTGCTCCTTTCACAGGCAGCTTCAGGGCACAGTGGACCCTCCACTATGAAAATGAACCTCCTGTTTTGCAAATTGGTGCACCTCCGCTCTTTGCGGCTCTTCTCTCGACTGTATGCTTGGTTGAGTTTCACATTCCACATGATGCTTACACAGAAAAAAATAGCAGAACATAGTCAGGAGGCAAAAATTCACGTCTCCTAAAGCCCCTGAAAAATCCTGAAAAGGCAAAGAGGAGATTAAAGGGTTATTGGATCGCAATAACCCTTAAAAATGTAATGACTGATACTGAATGCTGAGAATGAACTCTCTCTCCCCCTATTTCAGACAAAAGAATGTTTCCTAAGCTCTGGTTTCAAATGGACTATTTGCAGTGGCACTAATGACTGTTTCAGAGCCTCCTATTTTCAACAACAACCTTGATCATGTTTTCTCAAACAGAAGAGTTCTATCTATCAATCTTCGAGCAACAAAATTTGAAATCAGTACTTAAAGCTATTGAAATGGAACAGATAAAACCCAGAGGGAGGAAAATTAGCATAACAACCAAAAGGAAGATAGGAACAAAAACAAAATTAAGGCAAGCTGATATCAGAAAGCATGGAAGAGCCTTCAGGCAGAGAAAGACATTGTACAATGCATGGACATGGTATTGACAGCACATTGTAAAACAGCTCATTCCACAAATTAGGATGGGGAAAGGGGTATTAGCCAGTGAGGCAAACTGCATGTCTGATCATAAAATAGGTGAGAAACTGGGGAAGATAACACTGATGTTATTACACAAAGACCAGCTGCAGTTTCTATCCCCCTTTGAACAGATTTTAAAAATAACTAAATACTATTTTTGTACCAGGATAATGCTTTATGAAATTATTTCTTCTTGTTTGAGTTTTTAATGAAGTCAACACAGAATGATCAGAGACTGGAGCAATACTGGAAGGAAGATTTTAGGGGTGGAGGATTGGTCTTCACATTAATCCATGCTTTATTACATCTCCGCTTAGCCCTGATCTACAAAGAGTTCCTGTACCATGGGAAAGAAATGTTTTGGTTAGGGGAGTTATATAAGTTCTGCTGCTTGTGTGGAAATTATTTTGGTATAAAAGTGCCTTACATTCATATAGTTTATTCTCCTCAGATGGCAGGGGTGGGTAACATTTTTGGGTCGGGGGCTGCTGACCCACAGAAAAATCAGTCAGCGGCTGGGCACTGTGGAGAGACGGGGAGGGGATTGGAGTGCCAGTGTAGACTCCCCAATGCTGGGGGAGGCCCTAAGCCTCAGGGGTCAGATTCAGGCAACCCAGGGGCTGCATCCGGCTCCTGGACCGTAGGTTCCAAAGCCCTGTCATATGGGAACAACTAAATCAATAACATTATTTTTACTTTTGTAACTGTGCCCCTGCTAGAAACTTGTACTACTTTAACTGTACCAGCATAGTTAAATTGTGTGATTTTTTTATAGACTGCTCTAAATTTGGGTGTAATAAAACCTGCTCTCATCTACTTTGCATGCATCAGGCTTAATCTGAAGTAAAGCGTATATTATAGGCTAATTATTTGTGAGTCCTACTTTTGCAGGGAATAATATGAGTTGTTTAGGAGGGGTAGTTCCTTGACATTTTTGCTGTATTGTTCACATTCTGTGGAGGAGAAACTCTGTACCCAGAAATGTGATTAATTGCACAAATTGTAGGAAGGCGAATACTGATGTCAAATCTGCAGCCATACCAACTTGTGCTGTGATCTAGTGCTATCTTACAAACAAAATGGTAGAGAAAATTTTTAAAAATCCAATTATTTTGCATGGAAATTTTGGGGGAATTTTTTTCATTGTTCCAAGGAAAAAATTGGATTTTTTTTTTTACAATTTTTTATTAATGTTTTTGTTTTAGTGAATACTCTGTGTGTGCATGCATGCATAAGGGGGAGGGGAATTAAATTTGCTCAAAAAAAATTTCCCACAAAAAAAAGGCAACGAGTGCTAATAAAAATGAGGAGTTCTAAAAGACAACTAAAAGTGGCACCCAAAAGACTAACACATTTATTCAGGCATAACCTTTTGTGGGAAGGAACCCAGTGCTAATAAGAGTCTTTCAGATCTCTATTGTGCTGGTGGTACTTTTCCTCCCTTTAGTCAGCATTGCA